ACAATATGAAACAGGGAAGTACCACCGTGTAATCCATTTATTTCAACAAAGTAACTGTATTCTAAATACCACCTTTTTAAACGGTAACTGTAATGGAATACAGTTACTCATATTTTGTATTTTAAATACATAACGGTGGTACATGCATTCCGTTACTCCCCAACACTGACTAGAACAAAATGATCAGTTTTGCTGGGAGAATGATTAGAGCTTTCATCTCCAAGATGAATTCTTTCAGCATGAGCACTGATACCCGTTGCTTCACTGATTCAGAAGAGGACACTAAAACTTTAGATAGTCAAAGTGTCCCAAAAGATCAACTGGATCAAGAACATGAAAAACCCATGATAGGCTCCCAGGATAGCTTAAATACTGCAAATTTGAAAACTGTGGAATTTGCCATCAAAAAGGCTGTTGAAAATTTTTTTACCAATTTTGGATCAAACTAAGGATCCTCAGTATAACAAGAAACAATCAGAAACAATTGAAGAGAGTGAGCTACTTGCAAAGCAGCTCACTCATTCAGTTGAGGCAGAGATTGAAAATGCTGCAGAGAGTGGCGAAGTTATCACTCCTACATCATTTCAAGAGAAATTTTAAGCAGTCGTTAGAAACCAACTCGGGTAAGATCAAAATATTCTTTGTGAAGCAATTTAGAAAAGCAACAATTCTTCGCATTGCCAAAAACACCAGGGCTAAATTTCTGAGAATGGGGAAAGTTGAAAGCAGTGAATTGCTCGAGCAGCTTGTTAATGATGTTGACTTACTGCTTTAGATTGTAAAAGATCACAGTTCAAATGAGCTTGAACTACTGAAACACATTTTGAAGGGCAAATCTCTGGACTTTACCCAGGTGCTCACAGACATGCTCAACAAATATGCTTCACAGGGCATGGCACCTGAAACTCTACCTGATCTTTTTAGAAGAGCATACATAAAAAGAAAGATCAAAGTTTTCTTGGCACTCATGAGATGGTGGTGATAAACCCAGGCTGAGAGACATGGTCTGAGCGTAATGCTTGCAATACTTGGCACACAGACAACAACAGAACCACAGACAACAGCATCCCAGTTGCATCTTCCCATTCAAAGCCGGACCCTTTTGTACTAGAAGATCCGGTACGTAAAGCTTACATTCAAATAATCATTCACAAATTATTTAGCCGCATAGCTCAGAAATTAAACATAAAGTGCACTTGTGGCTGCTCAGAACATTCCACAGTTGGCTTCAAAAAGTACGTTCTTAAAGACCTGTCTTGGGGAGTGTAGAAAATGTTCAAGTGAAAATAAAATAAACAATAAGAACAAAGGTCGATCAAATGGACCAATACGGCAAGGCCGTGATGATCCATTTGGCAAATTAAATCCATTGTGTATCCTTGTTGGTCTTCAGACAACAATTCTGATGGCTAAGGAACCAAATGGGACAGGCAAATAAAAATTGTCAGGTTTTTCACTGCATTGGCCAAAGCCATCAACAAGCCATTTAGACGCACAGCTTGAAATGGTGGTTAGCCAGGCGAGTAATGCCAACTACCCAATGACTACCTAGGACAGTGACGTTGTCAGCGAGAGACTGGTGATCAGCAACGTGGTGCACAACGTCCGAGCAGATTATTGGGGGTTTCTCTCTTGCACTGTAGGGTCTTTATAATATAAAGAATTTTCAATCAGCTTTTGTTATTGGGCCCTATTTAATTACAACTGATTAGCAATTTTTAAAACATTTACAAATCAATAAAACAAATTCCAAATTTGTATTTCTGTCTCTTTTTATTTTTTACAAATGTATTTTTAAACTAGAAAAAGTTGCATTTCCTGTGAAAAATGTAGTGTGGATGCTGTACGTCTGAAACTGAATGCAGACAATAGCTGAATAAGCTGAAGTCAGTATTTGAAAAGTAGTTGAAATTATAACTTAGCAGAAACATAATAACTTGGCATAAAACACTATAACATAGCAGAAATACTGTGATTTAGCAGAAATGCATTAACTTGGGATAAATATTGGATGGCCAGTGGAGAAAAGCTGAACAAGGTAAAGTTCCCACAAAAACACTTGTTGTTCAACTAAGACAAGTTAGCAGAAACTTTAGAAAAGCCACAACAGCCAGCAAATAAACAAAACCAAAGTACTAACAATAATTGCATATATGCGCGCACACACACACACACACACACACACACACACACACACACAGCTCTGCTTTTGGGTGTGTGTGCATATGTCAGAGTAATTTCAAGCTAAAAGCATGCAACACACAACTTCTGCTACAGCACAGCTCTTCTACTTTATTCTCACAGTGACACATGGGTGAAAGCCTTGTAAACATTTCATATAAAGATTGACTGAGGTGCTAAATGAGATGTTGACATAATGTCAATCCTTCCTTTAAATGGAGCGGCCCAGACCTTTGAAAACTATTACAAATCGGGTTGGCCCTTCTATTTCCTGTCAGTGTGGACAGGAGGGATTTATGTGTGCAAACAAAAATGTTAGCAAACAGACAGGATGTTGAAGCATTAACTGAAATAACATGCAGAATTCATGTTTTCTACTCATTTTAGGACTACATGTATAAAGACAAATACTTCATGTGTACTGAATATTGATTAGCAAGTGGCATCCCGTGCCAGATCGCTGATCTAGTGTCTAACACAGACTGCTGTGTTAGCTTCGTTTTACCTACTGTGACATAATTTAATTTGAAAATACTTCAATAAATGTCTTTAAAGTAAATGACATCTCCTGTAAGCTTACTGTGCCTTCGCCTCATTTTTGTGGCTTTTTTTAAATGGGATGCTAGTACTACTCAAAAACATCACTGTGGCTTTTCAAAATATGCTACTACAATAACCCAGAGTTAATTATCAATACATGATTGTTGTTAATACATGTAAGTTACAAGCCAATAACAAGTATCCTTAAAGGCAATCTATAATATGAGTTGCATGGTAAACAAAAAAGCTGAAGTAAAAGAAAACAAATGGGGAACATAATCAAGTGCTGAGAGTACTGTATTATAGTATAAAGCATTTCCCTACAGCACACCACAGTACAGTCTCTGCACCACAACCACAGTATTACTGTATATTCGGAACCCTCAGATCTGAATTAGATTTTTCCTGATGTATTGCACCACGGCATCATCCTCTCTGAGTTACATGTCGTAGCAGCTCAGCATGTTTTATACTACAGGCTGGCTTTAAATTTAGAGATGCTGTGCTCAAGTACAGCATAACACGGGGAGGAGAAGAAGGGCAGCAGCCAATTATCTCGTCACACAGCAGAGTTCCCCTTGTTGACTCTAAGGGGAGAGATAAGAAGGAAAAGAAATGATTGCAACATATCCACTTTACAGTAAAACTTTTACAGTAAAATAATAGCACAAAAACTACATCCAACTTCCATGTCACGGGTCAGTAGTGTAGAGACGTACTACCTCAGACTAACCAGAGGTGGAAGGAACAGTTTATCTCTGAGAAAATGTGGTGTTTTTTTAAAAAAAATTCACCTCCCCCAAATTTCTGATTTTGCAAAAACTAGGTTTTATAACACAGGTCAGAAACAACCATGATATTTAATCAAAATACAGAAGCCTAACCCATTGTGTTTGGATGTTCTACCACATTTCTACCATACTTGAGGTTTTGCATATACTAGAATTGGAATATTTCAATAAATTTCCCCTTGTTTGTCTCTAACAGTAGTTAGAGACAAATCAGTACTTTCTCAAAAGAACCTGGGCAGGTTTAAAAGCTAACAGCCTAGTTGATCATTCTGGGAAGGAACTACTTCTAAAGAGTGTTGGCATCCTGTTTGACTGGAATGTTTGTGAATGGAGTGAACTGGGGTGGGTTTTTTTTTTTTTTTCAAACATTTCCTGTTAAACGGGAGCAGCAGAGTACTTACCACTTACTCTGCTGCTGTGTCCTGCAATTCTGTGTCCAGTCTGGTTTAGCATTAGGTTGAAAGTCAGAAAGCAAAAGTAAGTGAGGGATGTTAACTGAGCAACTATACTGTCAGTAGACATGCAAAAGCTGGGGATCAGTAGCCTATATCGACACTTGCACTGACAAATGAATTGATAAAAATAAAAACAAGCATTGGTGCTCAAAGGTGAGAGTATTCAAGGTCAAAGCAATGTACTGCAATGCATGGGGTGTAACAGTTTGCCTCAAAATGAGTCCATATTTCAGTAATCAAAATGCTTTTTTTTAAATGTGCCTTTGTATTGGATAAGAAGACAGTCAAAGGTCAGTCAAAGGTTAGTCTCAGCATGAGAAAATTAATGAAGTATTTTCAGGGAGAATTAGACATAACCAACTCATAGAAAGAGGCAGATTAAGTGGTTTACCTCGTGCATGCAAATTTGTTCAAACTCCTCTCCTGGTCATACCTTTGGGCAGAAAAATTTGTAAACATGCCTAAAGCACTTAAGATGACAATCTGCACTGGTTGGTTTCAATTTTTAAGAAAATTCAGTGAGTTTCTTGAGTAGATTTGCAAAAAACAATTTGTCTCCAAAATGCAATTACAGAAGTAAGAGTATTTGAAGACTTAGATAAATATTCAAACATAGTTGCAACTACAATAATGGTTGTGAAATGCCACATGCACCACACATTAAATATATCGTTGAGGACTTTTATTCTGCACTAGGGGTGTCAAACTCATTTTAGGCTGTGGGCCACAGAACGTCCAATTTAACCTAAAGAAGTCAAAATTGCCTAATAACCTAAAAAAACCAAAACCTGTAAATTGTTTCCCTTTCTTTTTATTTAATGAAGTTTAACTACAAATTAATTAAACCATCTAGTTTTAAAAGTGATGACTAGCAACTTGAGGTACCTGAAGAAAAAATAAGTGCAATCCAAGAGTAGGTTTCAGTTTTTCCAGAAAATCTGGTATACACTAGTAAATCAAAGGAACCCGTCAAAACAGCTCTCTGGTCTTACACATTAACAAACAAAGGCATAAGTACAGAAAAAAAATAAATCATACAATTAAAACAGGGTGATATCTTTGTTTTTAAGAAGGCTTTAAAACTTCTGATTTTTTTACTGTATCCAATAGGCTGGAGTGGATTAGTTTCATTAATCAAACCGACGGGCTTTCAGTTTTCACTAGATGAAAGAAAGGTAAATTTAATTACACAGGGCTGAACACCAGTCAGGCAAGTTTAACACCCAGAAACTTCACAACAATGTATTATGTGCAAGATGTGGTTTGGTTGTGGTTTGTTTTCTCCGAAGTCCTTGGCTAAATGCCATGATCAACCATGATCAACAACCAATGGCATTTATATTAATGATAGGCTGGCTCACCTGACAATGCTGTGAGGTATATGCACATACTCCATAGGAATGATTTCTCCGAGCTCCTGCAGACTATGCACATACTTGATCTTACTGCTGAACTTGGAACTGAAGGAAATAGAAATCAAAAAGAGTTACAGTAAAAAATGGTTTTGCTAAATGCTACATG